CCCCCTTTATCGACGTACCACAGGTCACCTTGAGAAAGTCTCATCCAGATAGCCGGACAGTGTGTGTGTGATCAATCAGGACAACTCCTCTGCTCTCTGAGGAACAAATATGTCCTTAATGCTCAAGAACATCCCCCACAACAGAAATGGGTTACATACTGTGCGTGCGCCATACCTGGGTTTTTATAGTGAGAGAATTGAGGTTAACATCGATGCACGTCCAAACTGAAAATGGTATTTTTCTTTCCACAATGAAACATTGTTTTGACAGTCACGGCTCAAACAGTGCTTGCTCAGCTGTACAAAGGATTCACAGAAATCCAAAGTCTGTTTACCCAAATGCTCTGTCATATTGAAATCAAACAGGAAATGATGCCCAGACATCCAGGAGCTCTTTTTATGGAAAGAAAGCAGTCACAAATGGCTGCTCTGCTACAGCTGTGGCAGAGGAGTCTCAGACCGGCCATAGATGGGCAGAGTTATGGGTGAATAAAAAAAGAGGTTAATGGAAAATGTGAGCTCTAAGTCTCTAAAGTCTTGACTGCAGCTTTCCCCCCATCTTTGCTCTGTCTGTCCTTATCACCCTCCCCCTCCCCCCTGTTAAGTGGGCCCTCACCCTGCTGTGAACCTGATGTCCCCGGCTCTACTTCAGGCCTGTGCCCTCAGGCTGCTTCAAGTGTTTACATGGCTCTTTGAACAGATGTGCATCTACTGTGTGTTTGTGCCCCTTTAAATAGAAAAACGCAGCTTTGTGTTTTTGATCAGAGCGGAAAAAGAAGAATGTGTTTTAGATCCTGCTGAAGGGGCTCTTTGTTTGCTTTTTTTGTACAAATTATGTATTTAATCTAAAATTCAGATATAATGATCTCATTCAAGACGCAACATCCCTAAATGTGGTGTGCCTATCATCTTTAGGCATCATCCTCTGTTGCGAGGAGGTTAAAAGAAAGGGATGAAAAGAACTCGTGTTTCATCCCTTTATAACCATCTTCTGAGGGAAGGTGTGAAATGCTAAATGCATTAGGGCGGCTTTTGTTGTATGTTTCCTGTTCAGTGTAGAGCAGCTTCTCAATAATGGTGTTTCACTAATGCAGTGGTATATATAGGTGAAGAGCAGCAGTTAAGTATTATCATACAGGAACTGCCTCAGGCTCAAATGGCCCTTTCCAATGTGAATCGCTGCCACTATCATTGCAACCCACAGGGAATGTACATAAACACATGCGCATTAACAGTGTGCACATGCAAATGTAAAACAGCCCTTTGGCGAACACACACACACTATCTCTCACATCCAAATCCTGTGAGCGACAGCAGCTCTTCCTCCACTCCCCTGCAGCTCGCAGGAACACAGAGGGGCAGAGGTGTTCCCGCTGGCTAACCATCCACTCTGCCTGCTCTGCTTCATGCCTGTTTTTTCTTCCTTTCTCCAGAGCTCAAAGAGGGGGCAGACTGGAGGAAAGCAGTGCCCAGCTACACCCAGTCAAGCAGCAGCATGGACTTCCGTACATGGAGCTCTCTTCCTCGCGATGACAGCCTGGAGCCCTTGCCCTTAAACTGGGAGATGGCTTACACCGAGACTGGCATGGTCTACTTCATAGAGTAAGTGCAAGACACATCACACGGGTCAAGAGGTCAATTAGGGAACTGACTCATTATGAACATCCATTCTAATGCATAGATATATTTAATGAGCAATGATTAATTTCAATAAGTTTAATAAGTAATATAATGCCGGACATTCCATTCTCTTTCATAATGAGGGTTCACAGAACTTCTGTGTCTTTTATTATTATAAGCCAGTTGTGTTTCTGGAAATGCGTTCTTACAATACAGTATATACTGCAATAGTGTATACAGAGAAAGGTTTTTGCCATTATGCACCTTCCTTTATTTAAATGCTTGAGAAAATAGAAGAAACACCTGTCACTGATAAAAAAGAAATGCAATCTCCAAATGATTTAGTTAATCTATTAAAATAAGTATCAACCAAAATTGATTATTACTTTCAATAATGTTGAATGTATTGTAGTTACAGTTAAAAAAAACTGCAATAGTTTTACCTAAAATAGTTTAACCTAATAACATGCAACTAGGTGAAAATCTAGTAATATTTCATACTTTTCTTATTGCATATTATGCAATATGCAACAATGAAGTGATTATACAAACAAGAATTTCCAGCAGTTCTAAGGCCAAAAAACTATTAAAAACAGATAAGTGAGCCATTTTACTGGGTGAAGTAAACCACCATACAAGCCAACATACAGTATGGTGGCTTGAACTAGTGGGAGAAATGGCACTGTTTGTCTGGAGCCAATGCCTTGAACCTCGGCAAAAAAGGCATTAGAAAGTCAAGGTAAACTTGCGGTTAACTTGCGGTCTGCAATGCGTGTCACGCTCGCGCACACAAGTAAATATATATATATATATATATATAAATGTACGTTCATTCTCACAACGCGTCAGACACAAGAAAATATACCTTAATTTGCATCAGAATCAGAACGTTTTTCTTTTTTTCTTTTGTATAATTATTTTATTAAAAAATAATAATTTTCTTTTTTCATAATGGGACACAGGGTTCGGTCCGGATTGATTTGCAGTTCGGTCTGGATCCGGACCTTGGTTTTAGAAGCCCTGTTATAGCATAAGGAAACACAGATAATGGGTCTGTTTGTATCAAACCAGTATCTATCCAGAAGCCTAAAATGCACATAAAGTGATGTTTCCTTTATGACTGCAATGATATTCCAGGCCCCTCACTTATTGTGTAAGTAAAGCTCAGAGCTTCAGTGTAAATAGTCTGATTTATTGGCCGCAATCGTTTCGAGTGTTAACTTTGCCAAACATAAATACGTGTGAAGCTCTTCTCTAAACCAATCAATACTTTGATTTAAGAACAATCAATAAACAAGCCTCTCTCAGCAGTATGTACTATGTGTGGGTGTATTTACAGTACAGTACAGAACATGTGTGTGCATGCAAGCTCCTGTGTTTTATTCATATTTGGCTCCAAGCCACACGTCTGTAAAGATACCTGAAGACCATTGTGATTTTCCTCCTGATTACACACCCCAGTTGTTAACACATTTGAGGATAAACCACTTTGTCTGGTGTCTCATTCAGTGTTTTTTTAACCCTCTTTAAAAGGCCACGTAACCATAAACACGGTAATGTGACAGCTGAACATAAACCGATGGATCAGATGTTTCTAGAATGAATCCAGTGGCTCTTGTGTACAAAGGCATATTTAATAGGGGACTCGGTTGTCGTTCTTCAGTTATTAACTATTCTTTTATTGGCTTCTTGTGCCTCAGCAGCGGTTTCTCTGCTGGCACAGGTCTTTATAGCTGATATTTACTGTCTGCTTTTGTGCTCCGCAGTCACAATACAAAGACGACCACGTGGTTGGACCCCCGCTTGGCGAAGAAGGCAAAGCCCCCTGAGAAGTGTGAGGATGGAGGTATGTAGGCTGCACTACTCAGCTGGGGTTCTCAAGCATAGAGTCATCCCATTAACCACTGCACATGTATTTACACAAGGGCATACCTCTATTGTATGTGCTCCACATTACATGATCCATCACTTTACACTTTTAATCAGACAACCAACTGGGCTAAAATAAGACTTGTCTTTGAATCCACATGTCATCCAACAGTAACCCTCAGCCTTATGACCTAATTTACCTAAAGCTGGGATCTACTTTGAGGAATTCCTGTATCCCCAGGATGCTAATGTTGGCCTAAGTGCAGGCAGAGACAGAGAATGGCCACGGTTCAAAGAGTGGGACCCTTCCAGCCGGGTTTTAATGGATTTTTTACAGGCGGACAGAACGCTAGTTGGTGTGTTGCTTCTGAAAAGCTACTCCAGAGCTCTCTCTTGCGTGAAGAGCTCTTTTCTCTCCCGCCGCCCTGATATGTTCAGGGCATAGCGTACATCAGCCATTCCAGCCGGCCTGCTTCTTAAAACCACGGAAATTTTCACTTTATAATTGTACGCGATTTCCATGGCTACTGCCTTATGCTAAATGTCCCATTCTGGGGGAAAGAAATACACTGGTAACTACTGCTGTTCATCACCTCGATGTTGAATGTGTTAACTCCCAGATGATTGACTGGAAACATTGTGCCAGCTCTTCTTCTTTCTTTCCTTCTGTTATCTTTATGTGAACTCCATTTGCATCTTTGCCTGAGCACCCTGTCTTCTCTCTGCAGAGCTTCCTTACGGCTGGGAGGAAATTGACGATCCACAGTACGGCACATACTACGTTGAGTAAGTTGTATCGACTTATTGATATATGCAATATCCAAGCACTCCATCTGTTCCTCGTAGATGCACATAACACACAAATGCATTTCACCAGAAGGGTCCGAGTGCCTATTACACTGCTAAGTGTACATTAGCAGTGGACCAGCATGAATCAATACTTAAAATAAATAAATAAACAAATCTATGAAGCATACAGCTTGTTTTGTTCATCTCAGCCGAGGAGAACGATTGAAGTTTCTGATCAATATTTTCCCATTGTTTAGCAGTGGGTGGCAAAATGAATCTCTGAGGGTAACATCGCAGTGACCTGTATGAGAACACTAGTCTGATTGTGCTCTGCCAGTGTTAGCGTAATGAGCGTGTGTGCAGAATGCCGAGTCTGTGTATACTTCTCTGTGCATATTGTTTGTACATTTGCAAAATGTGGTTTTCCTCCTCACCACCCCAGCAGAATCAGTGAAACACAGTTATTGTACCAGGAATAGAGAGAAGTGGGGAGCAACTAGAACGCATGAAGGGAGGAGAGAGGGGGGCTGGGAGGTGAGGTAGCAATCTGTTGTGATGAAAATAAAATGGGGACTCGCATTGTGTTAGTGCTCAGACTGCAGTAGGATCCCTCCTAGTTAGAAAGAGTGACACGGGAGAGAAGCTCTTACTGTTTGGACAAGGAGAGTCAATGGCGTGAAGATGGGGCTTATGGCTGCCAGTGTTTTCACTTGAAATGAGCTCCCTGTGATGCTGTGCTTTGTATGCCAGGGGGACAACAGGCCGTTTACCTTTTTAGTAGAGGAACAGGATGTTGCTGGCAGTTAGGGGTTCATTTCCGACAATACACAATCGCTAACAGCTATACTACCTTCCCCACATAAAGGGGAGGCACGCCATCCTTTACTTTACGTGTGCTGTGTCTATGAATGTATTTATAATGGTGCAACGTTAGCATCCATGTGTTGGAACATCATGATTCCTTTATGGGGAAGGTGCATGCATACTTAATTGTGAAAAAGTGGCGTACTAACATCAAAAGGTCAGAGGTGTGTGTGTAGATATTTAGTGTGTGTGTTTGCAGGTCTCTTAAATCTGAGCCTGTTTTTGTTGCAGCCACATCAACCAGAAAACCCAGTTTGAGAACCCGGTCCTGGAGGCAAAAAAGAAGCTGAGCCAGGAGACGGCTGCGATCCAACAAGCCGCAGCAACACCTACCCAAGGTAACAACTCTACAAAATCTGTCCCCCTCTCCTTTGCTCTCCCTTTGGAGTGTAAAGACAGAAAGACAAACTTATATTACTGCAGAGGAGTTTAGGTTAGGGCACACAGAATTTGATCTTACACACGTTAAAAAAGTGCAACTGCTGCAATTGCGACATATCTGCTCCAATAAATGGAACAGAGACTTTTTTTAAAACATCACAAGATATCATATTGTACCCTGCGTCGTGGGTTTGGACACCTCCCTCATCAGACATGCATGCACATGTATAACTATAATTAATCCACCAGCTTTCCGACTTTCACACTTGTCATTGTCTTTCTGTGTAGAAACAACGCAGCAGGAAATTCCAGTAAAGCTTAAGTCATCTCAAATGAAAATGACAAATCCCTCTGTTCCTGTGCATATGTAAAACATCTTACCTTTTTGTGTTAATATTTTTAAACCTTGTTTTCACTGCACTAGTATCTGTGATGTTATAGAACAACAGCTGTATTTTTGGCTTCTTTGCAGCTGTGTAACTTTTTATTTTATTTCCATACTCATTTTTAATCACTCTGGACATGAGCATAAGGCAATTATCTCAAATTAAGTTCAACTACACTGTATAATTATTTTCGCGTTTGCTCTGCACCGAGTCTAACATTTTCACCTCAGTCGCTGTGCTGCGCTGTGATGAATTTGTTTTCCGGGAATAGAAAGCAGTCGGAATGTCATCATTTCATGCAAGGTCAGCTGAACGTGTCAACCTTCCAGTAGCCTCAAACAGTAATAGATTATCAAAATGAGCATGTTCTACTCTGGTTCGCTCGTGTTTTTCCCTCATTGCTGCGATAATGGTTTGTTCTTTACCTTGACAAGCCATTTTTCTGCTGCAATAAACATTATGAATTAAGTATGTTTTCATTACAATGGATGTATAATAGATTAGTGTGCTGCAGCAGTGGAGACAGACAGGCGTGTAGCGCTGGAAGGGTTCCAGGGAGTGCGAGAGGGAATTCAGGGGAGGAGGCCAGCTTTTAGCGGTGCATGTGGCAACAGCTGGTGGAACAGCACGTCAGAGAGGCCAAGCGTAATCAGACATCTCTCTGCTCAGGTGTGTAGGGACTCAGGAAACCGCCATCTCGCCCCTGATTACCGATTACACAACCTATTGAGCTGTCAGTGGGCTGCCATTATGAAACCAAGGCATGAGGCGACGGTTACACCTCGGGCCAGAATAAAGATTGTTACAGTTCTCCAAGATAGGTTCCCAAGGAGTGAAACACAGTAAATGTTGCGAAATGATTCACTACTTATTTTCACCAGCTTGACATGACATTATAGTATGATTATAGAGGAATTATATGACCAAGCTTTGTGCCCACATGTTGCTTTGTTCTGATAGCTTGTTTACAGGATATATCCCTGTCTTACATTGACAGTTGTTTTCAAATTCCGATGTTCAAGGTTCATTTTTTGGATACAGCTGAAACTATTGCTCCATTGATGTAGTAAGAGAGATGTCTTCCCAATTATGCTGAATAATGTCGCTTGAGATTTACAATGCAATTGAGTCACACTAATCAAAGACCATGGCTGTTTGATGCGGTGGATCTGATGGTTTTTATCTGCCTCTGGCTTTCAAAGTCTGCCCACAAACATTGGCACAGAGACCATCCTTGGACTCTCCCACACAAGTACAGACTCGCACACGCCACACTCACTTCCTCCTGCATTTCATTCGCCCTCCATTACCTCTGTTTGTTTATTCACACACAAAAGCGCAGTAGAATGGTTATTTTAGCACTCACTGGCGGCAAGAAGAAACAACAAACAATTTTTAGTGTTTTTTTCTAGCAATCTGAATGTGATTATGCAAATGAGCTTTGTTTGATCCATGCTACAGTGTGGACATCTGAAGTGCACACGACTGTGATAAGTTACACTCACTCAGAGCCGTTCATGTCTGCGCTGGATGTTTATGACTGATGAACCATTTGATAGTATGAGAGTGCCTGCGTTTAAACTCCTCACACACGCCTCTGAAAGTTATAGGGTTTTTAAAAACTGAAGGAAATGAGAGGGGAAATACGAAAAAATGTGGCACCGTCCAATCACCATGTGCAACAGAGAGAGATAAAAAGGTGGAATTGGAAGAAGATATGCAGCTTTAAATGAACAGACACAGAGCAGTTATTCTCAGGTGAGCCGTACATATGCAGTGATGCAGTTTTCTCAGATCCAATTTTAGCAGCAGATCTCAAAAGACACATACAATTGGCACATATACATTTAGCCAAAGGTAAATGCACTGCGTTTATAGAGTGCTTTTCCAGTCTTTACGACCCCTCCAAGCGCTTTTACAACACAAGTCAGCATTTACCCATTCACACATTTATACAGAGGCAGAGGCTGCTATACACACTCACACACTTTTGGACATGCAGTCGGGAGCTACTTTGGGAAAGTATCTTGCACAAGAATACAACAATGTTGACTGTGGGGAGTTGGAATCGGACCACAGACCATCTGATTAGGCTCCTTCTCAGGCATGATTCATAACCAGAACCACTGGTCATATTCCATCATTTTCTTATTGTCAACAAACTTAATTGTATTAAAAACAACAACAATGAATTCAAGGTTCTTTGTTTTGTTATACCAGCATAGCTACAGTGTAGTTATGCCGATGAAAATCTTGTGTCACAGGCTTCTCCAACAGTGCAACACAATAACACAGATAAACAGAAACATATAGTGCAAGTTAATAGTAAATACAAAAAGAAAAATAGTTAAAAAAGTGAAATAGAGTCTATATGCAAGTTCAGTCAGACAACTCAAGTGGTTCTTTAACATGTTTATTAGAAGCAGCATATAGTAGAGTTTGGCGACTAGGCTCGGGCATCATCACTCCACAGATATACATAGCACGATGAGTGATGATTAAATAACTAACCCCCAAGCCTACAGGTGGAAGCTGGGTTGGAAGCTGGGGTGGTGGTGAGGCAGGCAAGCAGCAGCGACGTAGAGGTAGCTGCAGCAATAGCAGCAGCAAGCAATGCATGGAGAGAGATCTGGCAGGTTAAATAGAGCGGCATATTACGGAGACTCTGTTTGGTTGGTCGTAGAGTGGCAAGGGGCGTTATGTATGAATGCAGCATAATTGCTCGAGTTGACTGCCTGAACTAGCTTGCAGGCTTCGCCCCATTTATTGGAATGATATATTAGATAAATAGATAAATAATTAATAAGTAGAAGATGAATGTTATGGATGTTATTTCAACAGTTCAGGTGTTTAACAGTCTTATTGCTTGTGGGATGAAACTGTCTCTGAATCTGGTGGTTTTAGTCCGGATGCTGCGGTACCGCCTGCCAGACGGCAGCAGTGTGAACAGTTTGTGGCTGGGGTGTTGGGGGTCTTTTATAATCCGGAGGGCTTTCTTCCTGAGCCGCTGGGAGTAAAGGTCCTCCATGGATGGTAGCTCCGTCCTGGTGATGTTCTGTGTAGTTTTCACCACCCTCTGTACAGCCTTACAATTGAGGTTGGTGCAGCTGCCGTACCAGGCCGTGATGCAGCCCGTTAGGATACTCTCTATGGTGCACCTGTAGAGGTTGCAGAGTATCCTGGAGTCCATATTGAACCTCTTCAGCCTGCGGAGGAAGAAGAACCGCTGTCGAGCTTTCTTGATGATGGTGGTGGTTTGAAGAGTCCATGTCAGGTTCTCAGTGATGTGGACCCCAAGGAACCTGAAGCTGCTGAATCTCTCCACCGTAGTCCCATTGATGGCGATGGGGGTGTGTCCCTCTCCCTGCTGCTTCCTGTAATCCACAATCAGCTCCTTTGTTTTGCTGACGTTGAGATGGAGGTTGTTATCCTGGCACCGAGATGTCAGGTTTTCCACCTCCTCTCTGTACGCCGTCTCGTCGCCATCTGTGATCTGGCCGATGACGGTCGTGTCGTCGGCAAACTTCACGATGGTGTTGGAGCTGGCCACGCAGTCGTGAGTGAACAGGGAGTAGAGGCGAGGACTGAACATGCAGCCTTGAGGGGCTCCGGTGTTGAGGATCAGGGTGGATGATGTGATGTTTCCCACCCGCACCGCCTGGGGTCTGCCCGTCAGGAAGTTCAGGATCCAGTCACAGAGGGCGCTGTTGAGCCCGAGGTCTCTGAGCTTGATGACAAGCTTGGAGGGCACAATGGTATTGAATGCTGAACTGTAATCAATGAACAGCATTCTCACATATGTGTTCCTCTGGTCCAGGTGTGAGAGGGCAGTGTGGATGGTGAGGGCTATGGCGTTGTCTGTGGACCTGTTTGCTCTGTAGGCAAACTGCAGGGGGTCCAGAGAGTCAGGGAGGGAGGAGGTGATGAATGTTTTGACTAACCGCTCAAAATACTTCATTATGATGGAAGTGAGTGCTACAGGGCGATAGTCGTTGAGGCTGGTGATTATTGTCTTTTTGGGGACAGGAACGATGGTGGAGTGTTTGAAGCATGTGGGGATTACAGACTGCAGCAGGGACCTGTTGAAGATGTACATTTCCAGGCTGTTTAAAGATATATTTTTTCTTTCTCTTTTAATATAAAATACAATGGCAATCTTCTGCTTCTATAGCAGTATATAGGCATGCGTATACAGATAAAACGTTATTGGTTTTGGTCTTTTGATGGGATTTGTTGCCAATAAGGAATTTAAAGTATAATGCCAGCTTTTCTGTAACTATTGTACTAGTAATGTTATTTTGTCCTGTGAGCTTTGAGGTTGTTTTACTGCAATCAAACAATGTTGTACATAAATAAACTGGCAGCGTCTTTAAAAATGTATGCACCATTTCTAAAACCTTAATGATATGTATTGCATTCAATTGCCACATCCAGCTACATCGAAAGCTCTGAAATAACGCAAAGTTGCTAGAATGTGCTTCATATATCACCCTCTGGCTTCAGTTTTAGTGTGTTTGATTCAAAGCTATAACGCAGTAAAGGCCAGAGTCCATCAAGCAGCAAGGGAAAAATGGAGTGTCCATGATCTAAAGTGCTGATACCGCAGTAATGCCAGATAGGGAAGCTGCTCCGTTTAATTCAGTGTGACCCTGACAGTTGGTTATCTAGAGTATAGCGTATGCCACAGCCGAGCAGCAGGTCCGTATTGATGTTGCTACTGACCTTAAGTTGTTCCTTACTCAAGTTATAAAAAGTCTACAATGACAAACCTCTTTTTTTCTGCATCATTGACTGCAGTAGGATAAGAGAGGACACTGTCAGAGGTATTAAATTGCTATTTTGCTCCATGGTTCTGTAAAAAGTGGAAGCACAAAACCGGTTGCAAGTGAATTAGCATCTTAAGCTAACATTTATATGATTGTATCTGTGTGTCTGCTCATATCAAGGGATACACAACAAGGTCCCTGTTGATGGGTTTATCTAGTTTAGACATGTACATCATGCCTGTTAATTAGAAGTGACTAATTACTATGTTGTTCCTCAGCACATAATGTGTGTCATCATTGACATTCAATGCAGACATGGAAGAATTGTGCTGTCTTTCAAGGGGGATATGAATGTATTAATCTGTGTTGCTCCATTTTTATGTCAACGCTGTTTGGAGATTTAAATAGTTTAATATAGCTTGTTGTTTCACTTCTCACACCTCCCTCTCCATACGCTCTTTACAAACAGCCATTTTACACACACATGTGCTCTTTTTTTGCAGGTAAGGTAGGTGGGTTCAGCTTCACTTCAGACCCCAGCGAACTAAAGGGGGAGATGTACCACACAGCACTGAAGAAGAGCCCCCAAGGGTTTGGATTCACCATCATCGGAGGAGACCGCACTGATGAGTTTTTGCAGGTGAAAAACGTTCTTAGCGACGGCCCTGCTGCCCACGACAACAAGATGGCATCTGGTGAGCAAAGCAGATGTACACCTAAAGACTTAAATCTCATTTAGCTGGCCGGAAGATGGATGAGTTTAAAGCTTCTAATTTCTGTGATATTAAAAAAAAAAAAGATTTTACAGCCAACTGCTACCACGATGCACCTGGGGGTGTTACCTCTGCAGTGTTCACTTAACCTAACACTGTCCCATGTGTTCAACAAAGAAGCAATAACAGCAACTCTAGTTCTGTCAAGGGTTTAGGTTTATAGCAGACAGTCTGATTATGGTGGGTGGGAAGCCATGTGCCGCCTTTGTTGTTTAGTTACTGATCTTGCCATTGCCTTGCGACTGTCTACACAAACCAACAGCTGTCAGCTCTGTGTGTGTGTGATGGGTACAATGGTGCGATGTGACAGAAATCTACACCCGTCTCCCTTCCGCGCAGTTGTGGCAGAGAGTGCTGTTCTGGTCTGCTCAACAATAGAGTGTATGAAGGAGGGACAGGAATAAAGAAGCACTGAATGGTAGACTGAAGATAAAAGGAAAGGGAAGAGGTACAGGGAGCTGTCAAAATGAAATATCTGGGAGAGCAGTGAAGAGGAAAGGGACATTTTAGAAGAAAGATCCAACTGACAAAGGAAAGAATAAGTGCTTTCCAATAAAAATGTAGAGACGTGATGTCTGGATTAAATACCAAAAGTGAATCACTTTTTCTCCCCCTCTTTTAGGTGATGTGATTGTTGAGATTAACGGGATGTCAGTGCTTGGAAAAACCCATCCAGAGGTTGTGCAGATGTTCCAATCCATTCCCATCAACCAGTATGTAGACATGGTTCTTTGCCGTGGCTACCCGCTTCCTCCAGATGTGGATCTAAGCAGCGACGACCCTCTTCCACCTCCCCCTCTCCCACCGGCAACCCAACCTCAGCAGGCCCTGCATGGCGGGGAGGTAGTGACGGCCGTGCCCCTGATCAACGGGCAGCCGCTGCTCGTAAAGGGCGACGTCCTCCACGGCTCCTCTCAGGAGCTCCACTACGTCACCACGGATGCTAGCGGCCGGCCCGTGGTGGCGGCCTTGCCCAACGGGAGGCACGGGGAGGTGGTGGCAGGGCTGCTGCAGCCGGAGCTGGTGAGCGTGCCGCTGATCAAGGGGCCCGGGGGTTTCGGGTTTGCCATCGCCGACTGCCCGCTGGGCCAGAAGGTGAAGATGATCCTGGACGCCCAGTGGTGTCGCGGCCTGCAGAAAGGAGACGTGATTAAGGAGATCAATAGGCAAAACGTCCAAACGCTGAGCCACGCCCAAGTGGTGGACATCCTCAAAGACTTACCAGTGGGCAGCGAGGTCAACGTGCTAGTGCTGCGAGGAGGTGAGACACTGGAAGACAAATTATTTGTCTGGCTGTTAATCTCAGTCCTTTCATTCTATCCATCCTTCATTCTCGTGCTTTAATGTGCTTTTGAATGAGATTTGCGATGGTTTTCAATCAGTTCTAGAAAGTGGAGTATTTTCATTTTATACTACTTTATTCTTATACTCTATCTACAACATTTAGGAAGCATATTTGGTACTTTTTACATTTATTTTACTAGTTATTTTATAAATTCAGTACTTAGACAGGTTTTAAAATATGATTTTTTGGTTTAGATTAAATCATCCAACATGATATTTAAGTATATCTAAAACTATGTGTTGTGTTAACTGAATTTGTATTGGAATGAATACGTTTCAAAATGTTTCACAGTTCCAGATTCCTAATGTGAAAATGTGCTGGTTTTGCTTTAAAATACAATTTTTTGAGTTTTTTCTGCAATATTTACTTTTACTCCTAATACTTTAATTACATTTTCCTAATCTTAGTTAAATACTTGTCAATACCACTGCTGTCAATTCAACAGGGCCCATGGGGGTTGAGCTCAGAGTGCTGATACTGACAGGAGGTGAGGTGTTGTAGTGGCTGGTCGGGGGGGCATTGACTGAACACACTGCTTTGTAGAAACCTGTGTGATGCCACTGTGTCTGCAACCTGTAGAAGGTCACCACAATAGAGTAGACGTGATCCGACTCGATCCGACTGACTGAGCCCCATTTATCGCCGTCACATGCAGCCTCTTCGCATTTGCAAACTGTACATGTACATCTGGGGAAAATCTCGAGCACCCCTCCTGTGTGTCTCCACGCAACTCTGCTCTGTTTATGATGACACCCATCCAGGCGTAATGCAGTCTGTTACAAGTCTGAGAGCAGGAATTACATAAGCGTGGGGTTGTGCCTGAATCTAAAGTAGAGAGGGAGGAGTAAAGGCACCCTTCAGATGTCTCCTACAGCCGCCCCGGGGAATCACTGCTTAAATCGATGAACCCTGGATTGGCTTTGATCATCAGCGGGCGTAGGGGACTTTTGGATGCCTCTACATCCATGGCCCCTTAAAGAGCCATGGCTAAATGTCTATAGAGACAGGGGCTTCCTCCCTGCAGCCACGCCCCAACTCTCGTCTCTCCTCTCCCACTTCTCAACCTCACTGCTGTGCCACCATCACCATGGCCTACTCCCCTAACGCACTGTATGATCCCACAGTCAAAGCAAACAGGGCTCAGATGTATTCAGCTTGCCCAATTGCAGAGCTAATGCTGGCTTTAACCCTCATTAGACAATGGCATTTGGCTTGGTAAAGGATCCTCGTGTGTGAGTAGTGGGCATCAATACACACAGAAAAGTCCAAGCTTATAGGAAGGATGGAAGGAAAAAATGTGTTTCAGGTGTGTGCATAGCCATGTCGTCCTTTATGTGCCTTCGATGGATCTGATGCTGGATTGGGAATTTCGCATTGGAACAAAAAAATGCTGCTGCGTCTCCCCCCTTTTTACATCAGGCTCCATTAACCCCTCATCAAGCCAAGTGTTGGTCCGGCCCCACAGGGCTGTGGGCTCCAGAGGAGTGTTTGTTAATTCAGTTAATGCGGGGAGTCGATGGGAGGGGGGCTGTACGAGATGATCTGTAGGGAAGAATCTGAGCGCTGGAGATGGAGCGTGTGGGTGTACTGTACAGCGAACAGAGAGAGAGAGAGAGAGAGAGAGAGAGAGAGAGGAGAGAATTATCGGTCATTGAATTATATGCATGAATCTCTAATGCGCTCACCCGCTTTCTCAGCCCTGCAGTGGGCTTCCACTATGAAGTCCGCACTCCAGCACATTTATATTCCCTATGTATGTTTAATCGCACGTGGATGCATATTCCTTAATGGAGCATTCTTAAGTCAGTAGATCTCTTGAGTTTTGTATTGGTTTGTATACTCATTGCTGCTGTTTCTCAGCCAAAGAGGCAGTGCCATCTGGTGGTTCAGTGATTGTTGTTTTTTCCAAATCATATCTATATTCCTGACCATATTCCTATCTGTGTCTCTTCATAGGTCAAACATCCCCTGTGAAGAGTCTCAAGCCTGTGAGTAAAAGCGTATATTTTCCTATTTCCTCACTATTGTTTCCCCCCTTGGGGACTTATCCCCCCCCCCCAATTTAATTTCAAAGCGTTTTGTCCTTCAGCTTAACCAGTAAGCCTCTGTTGCATCGAATTAAATGATAGCAATACATTTGAATATTGATTATGTTTCTGGGCGACTCCTTTTGTTTGCTCTGAAAAACGCTCTTAATTACTTCCTTTCAGTATTCGTATTCTTAGGGCTATTGTCAGGGGATTGCAATGGTAATGAAGCATGGATGAGCCTCTTTAGATATGGCGGTATTATTAATACAACAGTTTCAGATAAAGAAATTGCCCTTTCCCCCTGAATGGGGTCCACAAGGAAAATCTTTAGTTTTCCCATGGATTTTTAATTGCATTAAAATCTCATTGCTAAGCCTTCATCACAATTGTAGGAATACAAAGTGAAAGGAAAAATGAGTGGAAGTCAAGTGACCTTTATTTCTCTTGGTAATCTATCACTATCAGATGCTCAGCCCCTTGTTTGGGATAATGAGCTTAGGAGACTATCAATAAAAAGTGAGATGTCCTTTATTGGTGGATACAAAGGGTGTGTGATCTAATGAACTTCTAAAATGAATGTGTCCAAAAATAACAATGCTGAAAGCAAGATGTAGTATTGATGGTGTGTCTTTTCAGAGGCAGGAAATGACGGCCAGTACAGAGACTCTGGACTGCCTCACAGACTCAGCCCCCCAGGCACTGCCTTACCACTCCAACACGAGCACCCTGCGCTCCATCGACTCCCCCAAACGAGAGGCCACGGAGATGTACCTGAAGTCCAAAGCCCTGCTGGAGAGCAGACGTAAGTGAAGACAAACACAGCTTGAATTGTTCTCAGAAGTAGTTTTTGAACCTGAAACTGTGATACCTCTGTCCACAGAGCCTTACACCAAAGACATAGACGTTTTTCTCAAGAGAGACATTGAAACCGGCTTTGGCTTCCGTGTTCTGGGAGGAGAAGGTCCACAACAGCCAGTAAGTATATATCACAAATACATAGGTTTGTTTTAACTATTTTGATTTCTATTATGGAAAGATTACTTTATAAGGAAAGGGACATCCCAAATCATTTGATTTGAAGTGCCTTTTGTCATGGGGGTAAAACATCAGGACCCAAAGGCAGTATGAAAGAGAGGAAGAAGATATAAAAGTATAAAACAAAAAGCAAGCTTTATTAAATGAAAGCTGACACAAAAAATAAGGAACAAACTGGGAAGACTATGAGAACACTAGGACAGACGAGGAAATCCAGAATAATATGGAAGTGCGACTGACCGAACAACACCAGGGAAAAGTAGATGACCAACTGACAATGAAGATACTAGGGAAGATGGGCACATATACAGTACACACAGCACAAATCACAAAGACACAACACAGCTAGGGGAGGCATGGTAAACTCAAGAGTTTGCATGTGAAAATAAATTGACAATCCAACAGCCGGGAAAACACAGAGACAGGAACTAAAACAAAACTAAAGAAAAACATATATTTAAAAAAAACAGGAAACAAAATAGCAGCAAGAACATGACACCTTAGTATCAGACTATAATGACATAGTTCTCCATTGAATTTGGTAATCCCTTGAAATCAACTTATGTGCCTTTTCTGTGATGTAATACTTTCACACTAACACACACAGTAACAGTTGACAGTGTCAGTGTGGTACTATGGAAAAATAGAATAATGAGAGTAACTATTTTTCTTGTGGAGGTTTTAGATGTGTAAATAACACGTTGTGTAGTCAAAGATTGCACTTGTTTGTCTCTACTTTTTCACAACTTCTGCACCTTAATGATTAATAAATCATATTTTTCCTCAAAGGCCAGTTCTTCCTCATACTAACCCTCCATCAGAATGTGTTTCCCCAGGTGTACATCGGGGCCATTGTGCCCAACGGAGCAGCAGAAAAGGATGGTCGCCTGAGAGCGGGAGACGAGCTCATTGGCATCGATGGTGTGATGGTGAAAGGTCGTTCGCACAAGCAGGTGCTGGATCTGATGACCAACGCTGCCCGCAACGGTCAAGTTATGTTGACTATCCGCAGGAAGGTCATATACAGAGGTGGGTAACAAGTAGAACAACACCTGACACACTTCAAAACCTGACACTGTTATATTTAGATCATGATAAATGTGTTGCTCTTAACACCACACTGGACATCCGGAGAAAAAAATCCTCTGGCTCACTTTATATTTTGACAGTGACAACATTGCTTAGTGGTTAAAATAAAGATGTAAGTTTTAAAAAAAGATAATTATTCAGAAGTTGTCTTTAGCAATAAATGGGTATAGCTGGTCCAAGATGAAGCCGTTTGAGCACTGGTCATGCAGTTGTATCTAAAGTAATATCACAGCTTTAATTTTAGATTCAATATTGTCTTTGGTAGTTATTGGCAACCAGCTTCAACATCCACACTCTGTAAATTACACCGCCGCACTTTCAAGACACCACTTTTATCTGCATATTCATTGTACATGAGCACACAATAAACTCCAGTCGGTTCTATAAAAACCATCAGGATTGCAGGCAAATACAAAGTTGCACAAAACACAAATAACATCTGTATCCTTTTATTTCAGATGTGAACGATGAAGAGGCTCTGGAAATGGCTCCAGTGCTGGTGAACGGTTCTCCGAAACTACCTCACCTGCCAATGCCCTGCGATCTGGACCACGAGTCTTTTGACATCACACTCCACCGCAAAGAATCTGAGGGCTTTGGCTTCGTCATCCTCACCTCCAAGAGCAAACCGCCCCATGGAGGTGAGTGTTTAGATTCTCAAATCCTGCAACAATCATTTACAATATACGTTTTAGGCTTATATTTGGTGGATATGTAGATATCTAGATGTAAAAAAAAAAAGCAGTTTTAAGTTTTTTTTATCCCTCTGGAAATTGCTACTACTGCAAATGGATGATCCCACAATATTTGTATCATCATATAATCCCTATATAGTCCAGTGGTATCAAAGACAATAGGAGAAAAACATATTGATGTCTGGTTTTCTGATGTTATTGCAAAATATAATGTATTTTTATTTGTAGCAGAGAAGGAGGATCTCTAGGATTTATATAAGCTGCTGTATATTTAATGGTAGTGCCTAACGCATAGAACAAACCATGATTCGCTCATCTTCCATAGGTGATACATACTGTTGTAAAAAGCGTGTACACCAAGTCAATTGGGACTGAATAATAGAACAAACTAAATGATCTTGATTGTCTTTGCTTTAATATATCATTCAGATTAGATCTTGTTCTAGCTCACATAGACATTGCTATGCCATATTACATAAAGTAGCCAGTTATTCACTTTATAGAGTGTATCCCACATCATACAGAATCATATATAACCACATATATCTGCGGTAGGAAAAAAATATTTTCTATGTGTTACCCTTAGCCCAGAAGCGAGTCAATTCTTGGTTGGAGTCAGGAATATTTAGCTTCCTCAAAAAGCCAAGTGTGAAGGACTCTGAGGACTTTGAAAATACCAAATATGTGACAATGAACAAAAAATAAATATATTCATGTCTGATAAAAACATTTCCACAACTAACACTCTCACGCATTGAACAATTCAAGACCTAAACCAGATTTAAACAAACCAAAGCAGTTTTGCTTTGACAATATAAACTCCTATTATATTGGTTTTCTAGACACATTTTCTTTGTTCACAATATCTGCTACATCTACGTGGTAATGTGTCATTTCTCTTCATATTAACCATTTCAGTCATTCCACACAAAATCGGGCGAATCATTGATGGCAGTCCCACGGATCGCTGCGGCCTGCTGCACGTCGGAGATCGTATCTCAGCGGTCAACGGGCGCTCCATCATCGAGCTCTCTCACAACGACATCGTGCTGCTCATCAAGGAGGCCGGCAACGTGGTCACCCTCACTGTGGTTCCTGAGGACGGTGGGTATCTCTGGGTGCACATGTCTGCAGGACTATGTTGGTATTGTCATCAATTTGGTTCAATTAAAATGTTTTTACTTTATTGTCAGCAACAGGGAAATTAGTTTTGAAGGCATTTAATCAAAGCTATCAAACTAGTTAGAGAATATTAATAGTTTACTGTCAGATTTAGTTCTAATGGAGGTATTCAAAAAGGGATAAAAAATAAACCCTATTCATCTGAAAATGTTAAATTAATGAAAAAGAAACCTTGGTCATTCAATCAAACATGTTAATGTAACACATTGAATAAGACAGCTACGTCTGATGATAATGCTTTTTTTGAATGCTGCATCTTCTTGTTGTTGACCATATTTGAAAGTATTGTTTCTTCATTTTAAAATTACAATAAAAAAAGTAATTTTATTATAAATTATTTTTCACACTGATTTCTTGAACTTGAAAATGTTTTTTTTTAGAGTACAAGGGCCCTCCATCTGGAGCGAGTTCAGCTAAGCAGAGTCCAGCTCTTCAGCACAGAACCCTGGGTCATAGGTCAGCACTACAGGATGAACGGTAACAATCTCACTCAAAATAAAGGCATACAAGAAAAGGGAAATACAAAGCGTTCAGGCCCCGGGAGTAAAGGGCCTTTGAAACTTTCAAAACATCTCTTGCATATTAACCCAACCCTAAATAATTACGCTCAAACAACAATAACCCCCTTGTGCATAGCTCTCCCAGGAATGAAGCTTGTCTTGTGTTTCGTCAGCTGTTTTTTTTTATTCCCACCATCACAAATTCAAAATGTGCCCAAGCAACAAAAGACACCTTCACTAAACATTTGTGTATTTCTCTCCACATTGTAATGGCCAACTCCTCTTTCCTCTCACTTTCTGCTCCAACCCCCACTTTTTTCCTGAGGATGTTATGCAAAAGAGCACAACAATAAACACAACAAGAACCCCCCATAAGATTAAAAGTAAATCCCTTTATGTTTATGGTTATGGTTTGGTCATATTAATACAATGATATAGCTAGCTGCCCTTATAAACCATAAAACACCCTCTGTAATTACACTCAACATGAAATGATATGTGGAAGAGGGAGGTGTGCCCTCAGAGCAAACAACTAGAGAATATTCCTTCTCAGAAAAAAAGCAGCTGAATAAACACAAAAGTGTGGAATACAATAAAGAGGCCCTATTATGCTTTTGGGGGTTTTCCCTTTCCTGTAGTGTGTTCTATACAGTAGGTTGTTTATTACATAGTGACAAGGCTCTGGTTTCAGACAGAGGGTGAAAAGAGGCGCTGCAACACAGGCAGTATGAGAAATATAAAGAGCTTTTTGAGCATTAAAGCAAGTAAACATGTCACAGTACACAAATACAATGTGAACCTGAAAATCCACATAATAGTGCCTCTTAAAAATCCAGCATTTAATACATTTTAGATTTGCATAATGGCTTTTTGTGTTTGTGGCCTTTAGCAAGATTTGTACAGCATGTGTTACTGAAGAAATATCTGTTGTTTTTTTTATAGTTATAACCTGGACCTGGAAGAGAAAAGGGAGGCTGTCAACTGGTCTGACCACAAAACTCTTCCAATGAGTGAGCAGGGAACGATGTGTGTGACGGGACCCAATCAGGTAAGAGTATCTCTCCTATTGCTTCTACTATATGTTTTCTTTTCGAATATCTGAAGGTTGTACTGCTAAAGGCACATATTTCTAAATAATAAGTATGCAAGCTCGAACATTTATGACTGTTATGAAATAAATATTTCAGTTTATCTTTTTCTTACAATAAAGCATGATGTTCCCAACACATACTGTAAAGCTCTGACCTCCTTTTTGTTGCGACACATTGCCCAGATACATTACATTGAGTTACATTGACTTCATGGATTCTGCATTCATTAGGTGTGAATGCTAGCTATTTATTTTGCTTTTATCATTTATAACTTTCATACTTTCTATTCCTGTGTTCCCATTCAATGAATCTCACACTATTTTTTTAACCCTTATTCATTCAGGCTACAAGGCCAGAACATCTTTCATATAGTCTCTGTATTAAAGAGTGCCTGACATCACAGCTAAAGTGGAGAGCTGCTGTTGAATATTATCTAAAAATGATATTGAATGTTGTCTTATACGAAGAATTGTAAATCTTGATACATAATGTTAGCTCCCAAAGTGTATGCCCATGCTCACAATGTAGCGAGAAGAAGTGTCAGGGTTGCCCAGAAGTTGGCACTTTGACTCTCTTGGAAACTAAGGCCAGAGATTTGTGGAGTGAAGCAGTTATTCAACATGCTCCCAATCTCACAATGTTGCACCACTGACAAGAAGTCTTATTGGCAGAGTCTTTTCTCTCTCCTAATATTTTTTGCTGATTAGATAATGGATTTTTGAGCACAAAGCAGTCACCGGAAAATTATGCTTTACATAATTTTGATTAAATTACTGCTCGACCTAGGACTCATTTAGCAGCTACAATCACCATGGCAAACAGTGGATGCAACAGCAGACACATAGTACTTATTCACACTTACGTAACCTCAGAAAGCTCACAATATGCCACATATTTCATACATTAACATTAGAACCGCCAACGGGTACATTTTACCCGCAGCTGTTTCTTGATTGTATGTCACTTTTTTCCAATAAAATATACAAGTCTCCCAGTCCGTGACTTTTCCTGGAAGTGTGTTATGTAGCACCCTCTGTTGTTAAAAATTGTCAATATGAAGTCAGATTGAAAAAATGGCCCAAAAAATTGCCATTGATACCCATTAGTGCCAGCGGGTCATATTTACCTTATGGAAAATGCAGTGATTTTTGCGCTATTGATCTTGCGCGAAAACATAAACATGACGTGTTGCTATAGCAACGCCTGCTGTTTACTGCGGTTCCTTATAGAGAGATATATAGAGAGATAGATAGATAGATATATAGAGAGAGATAGAGAGACACTTTCTACATAACTCACGGTAGCAATCTTTTATACTTCATGCAATCTGCATGAAGTATAAACATATGCAAAAGCTGAGAGTCCACAGATTATATTGGTATAAGTTTCATCACTGTTCGATCAAAACTCACTGTTAACCCTGTGTTCTAGTATGATAAATAAAAGAACATTGTACCTTGAAAATCAATGCATTCTAATAGTGGGTAAATCTTACCCGTTGGCGGTTTTAGGTATACGGCGGCCCCTGGCGGTTCCTAGTTTAATAACTCAATAGTTCTTACAGTGAAACAGCCCCTTAAACATCCTCCAGTGCCAAAGGGATAGTTTCTGGATCCTCACTACTCA